GCGTTCATGCCTTTGCTCTTCCTCTTGAGAAGTGGTTTCTAGACTCCCCATTACCTGGGCCCTCTCCTTGACCTCCTTCCTTCAGCCGTGAACTTCTTGCAGCGGACTTTGCAGCTCTGACCTGCATGCACCCCCATTCCCATGAGCATGTGCCTGAGGGCCCAGCTCTGTAACACAAGGGGAGTACACATGTGTGGAAAGTGTCCTGTGAGGCCAAGCCCCCCAAACTGCCTCTGGTGTCTGCACGTGGGGCATGATGAGCTGGTTTTCTTTTTCTCCATGTGCCCACCTGTATTTCCATTTTTTTGGACAAGTCATTTACTTCCCAAGCCTTGGTTTTCTCACGGTGGGTCTGTGAGGATTTAACAGGGCGATGGGAAAAGTGCTTAGTCTGGGCCCGGCCCCTGGGCCTCCTTGAGATATTGCGCTGCCTCGCCTGGTCCTCGGTGTGCTCAAGGGGGCTCGGAGCCATGGACACAGCTCCCAGCGTGGTTATGCTCCCATTTTACAGGTGTGCACACTGAGTCAGAGGTGCAGGACTCAGGTTTGGGCTCCATGCTCGGGCTCTTTCCACTCCACTGCCCTCCTCAGAAGGTTTGGGGGTGGGATGCCGGCCCTGGGGGTGCACCTGGCCCAGGTCCCTTTCTAGGGCACCTGCTTCAGAGAGCACTTCTTTACCTAATGCGAGGCCCCAGGGCCGGGGTGTCCAGTACCGGGTGGCAGGCCCGGGTGGGGAATGGCTCCTCCTGACAGACGGACAGGTGAACTTGGTCCCGGATGGACACTCCAGCCCCAGACCCCTGCTGTCCTTGTCACCACCTTTAGGAGCAGCCTTAGGTGCCCTGGGGCTTGATAGAGGCCCCAAACCCAGTGCAGGAGCCTGAGGGCTGCTTCTGGCTGTGTATGCCCTCCCCAAAGCCCCTGCCCCCGGGGAACCACGGCACGCACCACGGAGGGGGGAGGGGCCGCCACCGGGAGCCTTCCCGTGGACACGCCGGGGCAGAGGGACCTGCTACGAGCCGCACCATTGTCGCTGATGCCTCTCTCAGGCTCTGCCTGGCCTGGGGGACAGCGGGGCGGGCGCGATGCTGTGGCCACCCTGTCTTGCGCCAGCCAGCCCCCCCGGGCCTGAGGCCGGCCCTGCAGCCGTGGGCCAGATGTGCTCCCTGGATGGTGTGGGGGAGCGTCTCCGTGTGGGTGTCCTCGCGTGATGTGTGGGCCGCCGTGCTTGGATCGGAGGCAGCCCAACTGCTCTTCCTGGCCCGTCCCTCCGCATCCGCGGCAGAAAGTTAAATAAACAGCCAAGTCGGATCACAGGACGCGAGGCAATGAACTCGGTCCCCACGGGGCCTGCATCTGGCAAGAGGGGGCCTCGCGGGGCG